AACACTCTTATCATGGCACGGAATGTCCCTTCGTGCATTAGTAATCATATCATGGCACGGAATGTTCCTTTGTGCATTAGTAATCATATCATGGCACGGAAAGTTCCTTCGTGCATTAGTATTCATATCATGGCACGGAATGTTCCTTCGTGCATTAGTATTCATATCATGGCATGGAATGTTCCTTCGTGCATTAGTTTTCATATCACAATCGTGCACGACATCACCCTTCGTACTTTATCACTCGTCCTCACCCAAACAACAATCACAAACAATGGGGCGAGGGAATAGACAAACAAAATATGAATCCCGACAAGGGAACAATAACAACAATTTCAATATCCCGGCAAGGGAGAAAAGTCTACCAAACAGCAAAACATCCCGGCAAGGGAATAACCAATAACTCATTAGCTTTCTTTCATTTCTTACTTCACATCTCACTTTATCACTTGAGCCAATGCTCCCAAGAAGTTTTTCAATTCATAATTTCCTTCTCATACTCTTTCATCACATAGGAATCGTCAACCAAGCATGGAAAAGCACAACAAGATAAGAATAAACACAACATAAGGACTCACGGTCATGATAGACACTAGTGTATAGATACTCGTCACCATGCCTATACACCGTACTCGACAATTAGCAAGTAGCAAACAAGACTCAGCTCCTATTCCCTCAAGCTAAGGTTAAACCAAACACTTACCTCAAAGCCTTGAAATCCACTTAATCCTCAACTATCGCTTTACCCCGCGGTTCCACCTCCAATTCGCTCGAATCTAATCACAAATTGCTTAATTACTTTAATAAACACTATATGAATCAATTTGAATGCATAAAAATGAATTTCCCAAGTTTTTCCCAAAAATTCCAAAATCGCCCCCGAGCCCACGTGGTCAAAACCCGAGGTTCGAACCAAAACCCGGTTACCCATTCCCCCACGAATTCAAATATGTAATTTGTTTTGAAATCGGACCTCAAACCTAGGTCCAAATCCCCAATTTTTAGAAAACCTAGGTTCTACCCAAAAACCCCAATTTCACCCATGAAAATCCTTGATTTCAAGTGGAAAACATGTTAAATGATGTTAAAGATTGAAAGAATTGAGTAAAAATCGACTTACAAATGATTTGGGATGAAGATTGTTCTTGAAAAATCGCCTATGGTGTTTGGGTTTTTGAAAGAATGGTGAAAAGTGATGAAAATTCGACTAAGTATAAGATTTGCTGAGCCTCGGATATGGGAAATGCGAAGTTGGGTTCGCAATTGCGAACGCTGCATGCTTGGGAAATGCGACATTTCTGTTCGCATTTGCGAACTCAGGTCTACCAAGGGACCTTCGCATTTGCGAAACTGGTCTCGCATTTGCGAACCAGTGACCATCGCATTTGCGAGGTTTGGCTTCGCATTTGCGAACCTTGGCCTGCCTGGGCTGGTTTCACATTTGCGAACCAGCCTTTGCATTTGCGATAGCTGGACCTTCGCATTTGCAAATCCAGGCTTCGCAAATGTGAATCCTGCAGATAACTGATACCAGGTCTTTCCAAAAGTGAAAAATGCAATCCGACACCTATCCTAAACTCACCCGAGCCCTCAGGGCTCCAAACCAATTATGCACACAACCAAAAAAACATCCTACGGTCTTATCGTGTGATCAAATCGCCAAAATAACATCATATACATCGAATCAATCCTCAAAACTCATGTTTTTCTTTGAAATTTTCATAAGGCATCAAATTTCCATTTTAAGTCCGAAACACGTCAAACGACGTCCGTTTTCAACCAAATTTTACAGAAAGCGCTTAAACCATATATATGACTTGTACCGGGCGTCGGAACCAAAATACGAGCCCGATATCACAGTCTTTTAATCAAATTTCATTTCCAATTTCCTTAGTAATTTCAGAAAAATAATTTCACAGAAAAATTCATTTCTCGGGCTCTAGACCTCGGAATTCGACTCCGGGCATATGCTCGAGTCCCATATTTTTCTACGGACCCTTCGGGACCGTCAAATCACGGGTCCGGGTCCGTTTTCCAAAAATATTGACCGAAGTCAAATATATTCATATTAATATCAAAATTTAGCATTTTTCACACAGAATTCATATTTAAGCTTTCCGGCTATGCGACCGGACTGCGCATGCAAATTGAGGCAACCCTAAATGAGGTTTTCGAGGCCTCGGGAGCACAGGATGAGTAAGAAAACAGGTGATGACCCCTTTGGGTCGTCACATTATTACCTTGCTTTTGTTCCCTTGCCGGGAAATTATTATATCCCTTTGTTCCCTTGTCGGGATTCCTTGTGATTTTGTGTTGGCTGGTAAATGGGATCGAGTGGTACGCCTACCACGAGATATGATGAAATGGGATCGGGTGGTACGCCTACCACAAGATAAGATGAAATAGGATCGGGTGGTACGCCTACCACGAGATATGACGAAATGGGATCGGGTGGTACGCCTACCACGAGATATGATGAAATGGGATTGGGTGGTACGCCTACCACGAGATATGAGAAATGGGATTGTGTTGCACGCCTGCAACGAGATGTGAACTGAAAGTGTAAATTGCCTTTGTTTTCCTTATCTTTGATAGAAGTTGAATTTTTGGTTGCTTGATAATTCTCTTGAGATCATGTTTTATCTGTTATTCCCCGAAGTATGTTTCCCCTTCCCAGCTTTTAATTATTTGTTCTAGTTTATTTTCCGCTATATATATATATATATATATATATATATATATATATATATATATATATATATATATATATATATATATATATATATATATATATAACTGCAGAGATTTATCTGGAGTCTGGTCTTAGCCTCGTCACTACCTCGCCGGGGTTAGGCCAGGCACTTACCAGCACATGGGGTCGGTTGTGCTGATGCTACACTCTACACTCTGTGCAGATACCGGGGCAGTATTGGGACAGCAGTAGTAGCTTGGGAGCCAGCCTTCAGTCCACAGAGATCCCGAGGTAGTCCTGCTGGCGTCCGCAGGCCCGGCGTCTCTTCTATCTACTATTATGATCTGTTATCACTTGTATCCGAGATAGACTGAGTTTCTTTCTTTCAGACATTTGTATGTAGTAATCATAGACAGCCCGTGAATGTTGTGACACCGGTTTCTGGGTAGAGACATATGTTGGCTATTCGTATCGATTTTGGTATTATATTTATCTAAGTCTTCCGCTTAAATTCATCTTCCGCTACTGTTTAAATGTTGATCACCTGTTGTTACAAGTAGTAAAAAGTGTTAAAAATGAAAGGGTTAAAGATTTCTAAATTTCGTGGTTTGCCTAGCTTCTACGAGTAGGCGCCATCACGACTCCCGAGGGTAGAAAATCCGGGTCGTGACAAGTCTAGGATCTGCTACTGACTATACATATGTATAATAATAAGTACCAACCACCGAAAAGGTCATATTCCGGCTAACCTCTATAACAAAATATTTAATAAATCTAGGCTTTTCATATTGCCCATTTTATAATAAACCCAACCCAATAACTTTCTCTAATATGATTCGATTTATAAGAAAGCATCTCTTGTAAAATATGAGCAACCCCAAATATTGGTCTGACCGATTTCTTAATACCGGGTCAGCTTATAAAGTAAACCCAGGTTTTTCATATTGCTATCAGATAGCGAAGAAGGAACGAATCGGAAAAGGGTCTAATGTGGGAGAAAAGTACGAAGAGGAAATGGGAAAGGTTTATGTGACGGCATTCGGATTTCTCGAGCCCAATGAGTTGTTCTTTGACCGTATTTTTTTATATTTCTTTTAAATATTTTAAATTATTAATTATTGTGACTTAAACTACTACTTTTTAAGTAGTTTTTAAATATGCAAATTTTATTTCGAAATACTTAAAGATTCTATGTTCAAATACACGGTCAAAATGAAGAAACTTGAATCTTGAAAAATGGAAAGTATCACATAAATTGAGATAGAAGGAGTATCATTTAAAGTTAATTTGCTACAGAAAGATCATTATAACAATCCAACTCAGATATTGAAAGTCTGTTAGCACGTAAACCAAATATAGTAGAATTGGGAAAGAAGACCACTGAAACCAAATATTAGTAGAATTTCGAAAGAAGCTCAACTATTTTGATGTGTATATATATTGAGTTGAGTAAGAGACTAAGAGGGACATATCTTGAGGCTTCTCAAAAAAAATGAATGAATTTGCAATTACTACCACAAAAAAAAAAAAAAAAAAAAAATTATTTGGAAGTTGAGTAATATTCGAGATATTAACATGGCTTCCTGACAAATCTCTGATGCGATTCAAGTGTGTTTGTAAGACTTGGAACACTTTGATACAACCTGACTTTATCAAGTTACACAATGCTCGTTCTCATGCCCATCTCTCAGGCACTCAGCTCTTGTTTCAGGTAGAAATTCGTCCTTATCCTCTTCCTCAATGAAGAATGTCATCAATTTTTCTTTGTAATTCATCAAGTAAACAACGACTAGAAAGATCTTCATTAGAATTGGTGCTTTGTCATAATTCAAATCTAGACATGAGGGATAGGATCATTATCGTCTCAAATCATTGCAATGGCCTTGTTTGTTGTAGGCATATGCCTCGAATTCATTTATACAATGTCACCACAAGAGAGATGAAAAGTTTGTCAATCGATCTAATTTATCCCTTGGCGAATCTTGAATTGTTTTTGTGATTTGATTCGGTCACAAAAAAATACAAATTGCTTCATGTTATCGAATTTCCACCAAAGATCAAAGTGCTAACTCTAGGAAATAACACCGGGTGGAGAGAAGTAAAATATATCGGTAGAATGTCTTCTCTCAGTCATTATAGTATATATTAAAATTATTTTAGATTAGAAATGACATCGCTTGCCGTTATAGTAATTTATTCATTTATTCACTTTTTCAAATGGTGACATCGCTTACAAAAATTTCTGCGTAAGCCACTGCCTATCATGCCTATTGAGAAAATAAAAGTCATCATTTTTCTTCGTTGAAGCTTACACTTCTTCAAGTATCTTCATTATCTCAGTTTCACACATTGAAATCTTTTCCAAAGGAGATGAACAAGACAATTCATATTTCCCCATAATACCACTATTCACCTCCAAGTTCGGCACGTCGCCAAAGTAATCCTCCAAGTTATTGTCATACTCAAACTGGCCCCCAGAAAAGTTTAATCCAGGATCTTGTTTTTCTAATCCTTGAGAGTAATTTCCCTCTTGAAAATTGATAACTCCAACATCACATGAAGAAATTCTTGAATTTGATTCTATAGCAAAAGTCTCTTTATCATCAATTTTCTCATTTATTCCCATATTGCTTGAACATGACTTGACATCATTAAGTAGCTCTTTAATTTTGTCAATGCCAAAATAACTTGAGCTTTCAATATTTAATTGAGTTTTACTAGCAGATGGATTTGCATTTGATGAATTTGATAATTCAAAAAATGACTTTGAAAAATCCATTTTCGTTTGCAATTCATTGCTACCATAATAAGGCTTTAATCTACTAGTTTCAGAATTACCACTTGAACGCATTACTCGTAATCTATGCTTCTGAAAAGTAAGAAAAGAAATACAAAAATCAGACAAATTAAATAATTGGAAGTATCGTTAAACAACTATTGTTTAAGCTAAAGAAGATAAAATAAGTCCAATACTCGGCAATTGAAGCAACATTTATATTGGAGTTTAAGTTCTATGCATTAACATTATAAAATATATTTGCACACAATCTGGTCACTTATTACCTTATTATAAGTTAATTTCTTGAAAACTTTTAACTAATAATCTGACAAAAATAATTAGTAACTTGCTATCACATGTTAAAATTCACCTCTAATGTAAAAATCTGGGTCGGAATGTATAACTTAATCCTTTGTAAATAAAGTGAAAAAATATACCAAAATCACTTATAATTAAAGTATATACTGGATTATTATTACTTTAATGCAGGGAAATCTCTAATGTACTTTTACTATATTTTGGACCGGAGGGAGTATACTTTTTAAATTAAACAGTTGCTAGTGGTTGGAAATAATGAGTTTAATTAGCTAAAACTACCAGCTATGTCCATTATAAGTAGCTCATTACAAAAATTGGTCAATTCATAAAATATTACTAATATTAGCCAATTATCTATTTGTAGCAAAAAAAGTCAAATTTTTGCTTTATTTTGAGTGGGTATTATTAGAATAGATCGGGTATATCTTAAGGAGCTTGAATCTCAGTTTTGGGCTGATTTGGTGAAGTTTTGAGGTGGTTTGAATAGAAAATTCGAAGTAAAAAATGGACATGAAAAAAAATGATATGTGTATCCTATTTGTATCAATTATGTATCACATGTATACATGTGTGTGAGATACATATGCGATACATATTTGATACATGTGTCAAAGAAGAATTTTTTGAACTCGATTTAATTACGAATTTTGATATAAAATCAATCCAAATCACCTCCAATCTTCCTCAAGTTTTGTATATTGACTTATCTATACGTTTTCAATGAATTTCAACTACACTCATTGATAAAGTTCCTTTTTACTTAGAGTTTTAGAATATTGTATATTTTTTTTGTATTTCATCACCTTATTTGCTACCATGAAATCTTCTTTCTTTCTTACATCTAATGTTGCTAATCACGCTTAAAAATATGGAAGGAGATTTTTGTATGTGATTCTTTGAGAGAAAGAACCTTATTTATTTGGTTTTTTAATTTTTATATGTGATTGGCTAGTTTTCGTAAGTCTATGACTAATGGCTAGAGGTTGGTAAGTTGAGACTTATTTGGAACATTTGTGTAAGTTTCCCAAATATTTTCGCTATGTTTTAGCCGTTCAGAGTTTGATGATACGTAGTGCTTAAACAAGAGCATAATCATAGTCTAATTTATGGTTATTGGGTCGTACATGTTATTTATGTAGAAATGACAGCATGTAGCCACTCTAAAGGGTTGCTATTTAAGAACTAGCCAATGCGTCCTGAATTTCAGCTTTCCACAGGACAAAAATATCCTGAATTATCCTAAAGTTAAGATTTTTAGTTTAAAAATTTCAGGACAAAATAAGTATCGGCTAATTCCTAAATAGTAACCCTTTAGGGTGGCTATCTGTGCAGTTACCCCTTATTTGCTTAGTGGATCTAGTGAGACCGTATAAGCTTAGTGGATCTAGTGACTGTAACACGGTCTCACTAGATACATGAAAACCTAAAAAAATTTGCCGCTATTTTTTTTTTCAATTCAGTTGATTTCAATCGATTTCGGTTGGTTCTAACCTACTCCATTAGGCCAGTATTTTGGTTGGTAATCGTTCAAAACTAATCGCTTTCAGTTGGTTTTTAGGTCGAAAAAGAACTATTTTTTAGTCATGTGAAAACCCTTAGTGGATCTAGGGCCGCGAAACACTTCTCGATGAAAACCTAAATTTTCTTTTCCTGATCGATATAAACTGCTTGGTATTCAACGCCTACGTTGACCAGACTAATCTGACTTCACATCGCAAAAAAATTATTAAAGGAGAAAGCACTCGCCTATATTAAAAAAAAAAAAAAAAAAAAATAGTTGTCCTTGCATTGCAACTTACAAGATAGCAACTTTATGGCCATTTATTAAAAATGAATTTTAGAAAAAAATAAAGTTGCATGCAAATTACCTGCAAATGACTAGCAACATGTCGATGAGTTAAGTTGGGAACATTCATTAGCTTTAATAGTTCCTTTGGTTGAGCCTCTGGGAATTGTTAAGTCAAAAAAGAGTAAAACAAGCATAATTAAAATTGAATGACATCTGAATAAATATAATAAATATATAGTTGACTTGAGAAAAAGCAAAAAGAATAAATAAACACTTACTTTTTTCATCTCCTAAAGCATTAATTGCTTTAAGGAATTTAAGATGAAGTTGAGGGGTCCAAATTAAACGTTGTTTTTGCCCCAAATTAACGCGAACTTGACTGCTTTTCTTTTCCTTATAATTATTGACAGTTGAATCATTTAAATGATTAATAAATTCAACTTTCTCTTCTGCTCTCCTGTATTTTCCTGCATATATTCACTTTCACAATTAAAGAGATTTTCTACTTCCAACCAAAAATTTATTAACTATGTTTGGAATAACGGAAGTTATTTCTCGAAAAATTAAATGTTTTTGTGTTTGGTTGGAGATAAAAAATATTTTCTAAATTTGTTTTTAGATTGATAATAATATTAGCAAACCAGATAGAATTTCGATGAAATTTTGAATATAAAGATTGACTATAAATTTATAATGTATTCCAGAAAAAAGGTTGATAACGTATAAATGTTGGTTAAAAAAGTAATAAAAATTAAAGAGTTTAGATAATTGAGAGGAAAATGACATCCCCCAAAATATGAAGTTATTTTTCTATTTTGGTGGAGGAAAAATATTTTTCGACGAAACACCCAAAATGAGTTATTTTCTAAATACTAGTATCATATTTTTAAAAAGATTAAGTTTGTCATATCAAAACGACTAATATTTGAGACCGGAGAGAGTATTATTCTCGTATTTGACATAAGCTTGCAACTATACTTGTAACTACTAACTATAAAAAAGATTTACCAATATTTTTATTAGCATTAAATATTTTTTACCAATAAAAGATTCCTCTTCTTGAAATGTAAACTTTCCTTTGTTCACTTTTTGAAGTTTTACTTTGACTTTATTGTGGAAAATATGTTGCCAAACATTAATGAGATCTTTCATCCTTATTGGTTTTTGCCAAAAAAAACATGCTCCTTCATCCAAAGCTTTCTTGGCCATCTCCATATTTGATCTATGAGACATCACTGCAACAAATATTCAAAGAAAAAAAATTGAAAAAGAAAGATATAATTGATTTAAAAGATTTCCTACGATCGACGATTCCCAAATTAAGCGGAAGATTTCGTTTTATAGTCCTTTATAATTATTATTTTAGGTATATGACCTTTTTCACAAGATATCGATAAAGAATAATATACGAGATCTACAAATAAACACGAGAAATTTTTATAGGATGACTTTTGTCTATTCAAATTATATGTAGTTATAAGAGATTATTTCTTAAAATTAAACTTACAAATAATTGGGATGTCTCTTTCAAGCAAAATGTGATTGAGAAATGTGAATCCATCTATTTGTGGCATGTTGACTTCAGCAATGACAAGGTCATATTGGTTCTCCAATTCTCGAATCATTGACAAAGCAATAGTTGCTAATTCAATCGTCGTAACTGTACAACAACAACAACAAGTACGTCTCAATCCTAACGATTAACTGTTGTCGTCGTTATATATAGATAAAGAAAAGTTTTAATTTGTCCATGAACTTAAGGTAATCGCGTTACATGTAAGTTATTGTCTAACGAAGATGTTACAGTTATAGAAAGGATTTATCTACATGTACACGGTGGCGGAGCCAGAATTTTATTAATGAGTGTCAAATTATATAAAAATAACCAGGAAATTAAGTGGAGTCAATACATAGTATATATACATATAATTTTTCTCTTTACCTACCTACACAGTATATTTTTCCCGCGAAGGAGTATCATTTTACACCCCTTCCTATAAAGTGGCTCCGCCACTACATGTACACTCGATGAATATACCAAATCAATAATTCCATGAGAGGAGTGAAATATTCTTTTACATAAATGTTTATCAATTAAAAATAAACAAGTTATCAAATAGAAATCTAAGAAAGCTGCAACTAATTAAAGAAAAACCTTTATAAATTTAGAACAACTACGACAACAACAACAAAACAAATAAGACAGAAGTAATTACATAAAGAAAAAATAATACCTTTATATGATTGTTCTTCAAGTATAGATGCAGTGTGCATTAGTGAAGTAGTATCATGATCAACCACCAAAATTCGAAGCCCTTTAGCAGAACTTGGAATGGCAATAGTATTTTCCAGACTTTTAATAGCATCCATTACTACAAAAAAAAAAAAAAAAATGTTCAAGTCTACTATCTATTGCAATATTAATAAATGTTACACGTTGAACGTATTGGGTTCATATGAACCCGATACTGCAACGCTACATCCGCCACTGTCTAAAAGAGATATCACAGACGGATAGCGTTTGAAAATAATGCAAAATAAATATCAATCTGGAACAATAAGTAAAGGATTAGAATCTCTATAGCTCCAAATTAACTCAAACTTACATACAAATTGAATTGTGATAATATTCCGACTCAGTATTTGTATAAAATCTTATGTACGCTACTTATGATATGAAGGAGAAAGATGTGAAATAATTCCCTGTGATGGATACTCTAATTCAACATAATTTAATTTATACACATATTGTTCTTTATGGTTTGACTTCATATTATTGTTACAGATAAAGACTCCATAATGCATGAAAAAGGAGAAGACAAATTCTCCAAATGTTTGATAGCTAACTGTCTAGCTCTTAACTATAATTCCTGCATGTTGATATAAATAGAAGACAAGAATAAGGAAAAAAGATTTTAAAGCTTGTTCTAACAACTGTTTCTTGCACTCTAAGTTTTGACTATTTAGCCCTCCAATTAGAGGCGGAACCAGAATTTAAAATTTATGGATTGTGAATCAACCATTAAGCTCATAGCTCGTCTAGTTATATATTCAGTTCGCGATTAAATATTTATACATATTTACTGAATTTTCTAATACAAATACATGATCTAAGCAAAAGCTACTTGAATAATACTCTAGCTCTGCACCTGCCTCCAACAAAATTAGATAACGTGTCGATTACCGATCTCGTAGATATATTATTTTGTTAGGAATATATATATAACTTTTTTATTGAGAAATAGTTGACAGAGGAAGTGAGCCATTATTTATACTCTAACTTTATTTTAATTAAATGATGATATTTTCATAACCAAAAAGAAGAAGAAAACAACAACTGGAGTTGCTTAATATCCAAAACTTGCGATCGCCCTCTAAATGATCGGAATAAGGTAAAATATGAAGATAAGTTCTATCGTCAATTAATTTCTTACTCTTGATGCCATTAAAATGATAACCTATCCAATAATAGACCAGAATCTTGTTTACGTATTTCGTCCTTAGGATGCGTTCGACCAAATAACTTCAAGTATATTTATATGCTTCATATGGTTCGTTTATATGTCACTCTTGCCTTTTTATTCTGTTTAAAAAAGAAATTAGAAAACTTAATTTTAACCATTTCATTTCATCCTTATTGACATGCTCTTAAATCCATAAAAATGTCATAACATGTTTGAGTCCGAAGTTATCAAAAGTTTTTATTTCTTTCTTAAACTTTACATTCAGTTGAACATCGTGAAAAGTAACAATTACTTAGAAAATTCAATTTAAATCATGGAAATCATCGAATTTTGCGTATAAAGAGCGAATTTCCAAACTTTAGAAGTACGAAAAGAAAAGAAAAGGGAAAATTTCACATAAGAACAAATGGATTCAGGGTGGCGTTCAATGGTGGACTACTACTCTTCAATTTTCTTACATTGCAACCAGGTGACACAGGGGGAGAAACAGAAAATACACCGCCGCTTGAAGCATATGTAGAATATGTGAGAAGAAGAGAGAGTGAAAGTAATAGTTGTGAGAACACAGATTTAACTTCATAGCTTTTAGAAGCAATGGTTGTAAGAACACAGATTTTGAATTTACTAGTACTTTCAAAATCTGTACAATATGGGCTAGGTCGGGTAAAACTTAAAAACATGAGCCATTTTTTGTTATGGTATGAAGTCACGTGTATTTTCTTGTAATTCTTTCAAAAGAAAACCGATTTTTCCCCACTATTAGCAAATAACCCTTCTTCATATCATTGCGTTTATATGAAGGGCAACGATCCCCTTGATGTGGCTAAGCAGCAATTCTTTTTAACTTATATAACTTAAATACCTGCAAATTCTTGCAAAACTTCATGTTGGGCCCGTGCTCATCACGAGCTTATCAGTGTCTGATATCCTCATTGCGGCCCGACTAAATTTTATTCATCTAGTGGTAGAAATAGGGTAAGCGGGCAGCATTTTGTTCTTTGATTCATTCGGCAGTTTTTTCAACAAAGAAACTTCACTCAAAAAAGCAAAGCAGCGAAAATCAAAATCATCGTGTCTGGATTCGGATTTAGTCGCGCCGCAATACAAGTACTACACATGGGGCGGAAAACCAAAAAGAAATAAAAATCAAAATTTCGAGCCACAAACAACTACGTACTCAACTAGCCGAGAACTTTACATTTAATCCCATCTAGAAGAAAATCACTATTCATATCATGCTCCTCACGCCAGTAGAACATATACATCCCTAATGTGGTAGAAACATTCAAGAATTCTCCGAATCCCATTTGCACAAAACCAACCTGTCAGGACTGAATCCTTCTAGCTCAACCAAGCTACGCGGGTTACCAAAAACCCAAGAGCATTGCAACGAGACACCTGTAGAAACTCATTACCTCATAAGCACCCAAAGAATTAATCATATCCCTTACCATGCCGATCCGACCTACTACCAAGCTGTCCTATTTATCCAAGTTTCTTCTGAATTACCTTCGAATTGATACTTCTCCTTGCTCTAATACCGCAATCCTCAGCCAGACTCACCACACGAGATCCAAGCATAAAACCACACCGTCTAAGGCTCATAAGCCGCTGAATACTCTCTTAGATATCCCCAAAAGCATCATATTCAAAATACCTACCCTGAGGAGACTTCCTGCGAATCCAAAGCCATTACCTTCACCTTCCTGATACTGATATGTAGAATCCCATAATTGATATAGAAATGCCACAAGTCTTGACACCCTCCAATGTAGATCCCCGTTCCTAGCCAAATATTCATCCTAAAGGTCTCCAATTACTACGTGTAAGTCTCGAATCCTTCAAAAACATATCGGGAGTCATCCACCCTACTCTGGTTTTCAATCAGACTGATCAAATGAACCGAACGACCTGTGCCCCATTAGAACAGCAACACCTATGGAAGTAACCCCACCTTAATGCAACCTAATAAATTCCTGCTCTATGCACCGTACATCTGTCACTAACCACAACTCAAGTCATTCCGTGATCCTCATACACCCATAAAGCATAACATAACCTTTATTAAAATTTCCTTTACTCGAGCCATCCTCGATTTTAACCCTTCCAAGCCACAACTGATTTACTAGTATACCTTAAACTGAAACCAATACAACACATAACTATGCAATCAACTAGTCAATAGCAGACTCCCCCACATTGCTGAAAGCCATAGGTCAAAACACATAGAACTCACAATGCCCATGCTCCACTATTGCCATAATACCATGGTGAGATTAAACTAAATCCTTCATAAGCTCGTGCAACACAAACCATCTAGTACTTCAAATCATCTGCAAATCTCTCATTCATTAAGCCCACTCTCATACGCGACCCAAGCTCAAATTACAACAACACACATATATTTCACTAGTAAAGGGGACTTCCAACCAACAACGTAGGGATCACACGCCCTCAGGACACCCCGCAGGAGATAACCCACCTGTTGTGCCCCATAACGTCTCTTCATGCCCTTCCACCATCATAAACATCACGCAATCACTTAATCTTCCTGAGTCTGGACTCATATCGTAACATGAAATATACTCTACTCCCCAACTAGACAACATGAAAATATCCTTCAACACGCTCACAACTCGGGCTATACATCAAATCATGATGGAAATCAAGCACCAGATAGTTTTTTAAACCTTCAAGCGGCCCCTTCTCGTCACATTCAAATTATATGAAGACATCTCGCAGTCACATCATACTCATCACATAGCCATCCAGTCACCACTCCCACTAATAGGTACACTATCGAACATATAAATCTAAAAGCACGCGCTCACACAATCAATCCCTCAGTGCTCGAGCTACAGGCAAAACCCGACCTCAAGTCCTCCAGACTGGCCCAACATTAACACACAGAGATCATATCTCACCCCTCGATCAGAGAATCACAAGCCGTCGATGCACATCTGATACTGAGCGCTCATGCTCGCATACGAACGCGTGGAAGGAATTTCAAGAGTTACATTTCAAGCTGAATCAATGTCGCACGATAAGAATTCAAGAATGTGGGATTTTCCTAAAGGTTCTGTAGCCTCTCGAAGATAAGTACAGACGTCTCCGTACCGATCCGCGAGACTCTACTAAACTTTCTCATGACTCGTGAGACCTATGTAACCTAGCTCTGATACCAACTTGTCACGACCCTAAAACCGACCCAGTCGTGATGGCGTCTATCGTGAAACTAAGCCAGCCGAAACAATTCCCAAATCAAACCATTATTCTCTAAAAGTCATTTTAAGCCATTAATTAACAATAAATCTCATAATATAAGTCTAAATAACCAGTGCGGAAGCATAACACAAGCCCGACATCGGGGTGTCACAAGTCACGATCATCTACTAAGGTTTGAATACAACAAAGAGTCTGAAAATATACTAAAACCAGTCTAAGGAAGATAAGAGGGAGAAGAGCAAGGCTGCGAACATCGGGCAGCTACCTTGCTAACTCTGATGACCCTGCCACTAAGTAATCAACACCCGCTACCGGGTTCAGAAATACCTGAATCTGCACACAAAGTGCAGGGAGTAATGTGATTACGCCAACTCAGTAAGTAATAGAAGTAAATAAAGACTAAGCAGTAAGAAAGCACATAATCCATGTCATAATGTCTCGTGGCATAATCAATCAGGCCCTCGGCCTCACAAAGAAGCCACCACGTGGCATAAATTAATCAGGCCCTCGGCCTTACAATATCATAAATCAGTAACAACCTGCTGCAGCGTGCAACCCGATCCCATAATATCCTCACAACATAAGCCATCGGCCTCACTCAGTCAGAAACCTCTCAAGCCACTCGGGCAATAGTAAAACAGGAAACTCATCATTTAAAGTATCAAAATAGAGTAAATACGG